CCTACTCATCTTTTCTGACTGTTTTTCACTAGTTTTGCATTTGGCTAGGGTCAGTGTCACTACTGGTAGCATGAGGCGATTTGTTATAAAGGAAAATAGCCAATAAATAAATTTGCTTAAAAATCAGTATCAGTATCAGAATCTAATTTGCTAGTTAAAAAAAAAAAGAAAGAAATAAAAGAAAATCTGAATTCTGAATCAGCTATGATCGGCGCATTACTAATTAATATACTAAGTAAAAGGCCTCAAATTTGAAGTAAAATCTGGGATGTCTTTTTCTATCAATTCTTCAATAGGTAGATCTTGTCTTTCATAAAGGCCGAGAGCCGTGGAGAATGTTATGCTGCCTGTAACATCGTTCAGCATGACCAGTTTGGTGGTGGGTCAGTGATGGTCTGGGGAGGCATATCCATGGAGGGACGCACAGACCTCTACAGGCTAAACAATGGCACCCTGACTGCCATTAGGTATCGGGATGAAATCCTTGGACCCACTGTCAGACCCTACACTCTTAAAAATAACTCACTCTTATAAAAATAATACACTCTTTTTGTCTAAATGGTTCCATAAAGAACCTTTAACATCTGAAGAACCTTTCTGTTTCACAAAAGGTTCTTTGTGGCGAAAGAAGGTTCTTCAGATTATAAAAAGGTAAGAAAGAGATGGTTCTTTAAAGAACCTTTGACTGAATGGTTCTTTGTGCAACCAAAAATGGTTCTTCTATGGCATCGCTTGAAGAATCTTTTGAAGCACCTTTATTTTTAAGAGTGTATGCTGGTGCAGTGGGTCCTGGGTTCCTCCTGGTGCACGACAATGCCTGGCCTCATGTGGCGAGAGTATGCAGGCAGTTCCTGGAGGATGAAGGAATTGATACCATTGAATGGCCCCAATGCTCGCTTGACCTAAATCCAATAGAACACCTCTGGGACATTATGTTTCGGTCCATCCGACGCCACCAGGTTGCACCTCAGACTGTCCAGGAGCTCAGTGATGCCCTGGTCCAGATCTGGGAGGAAATACCCCAGGACACCATCCGTCGCCTCATTAGGAGCATGCCCCAATGTTCTCAGGCATGCATACAAGCATGTGGGGGCCATACAAACTACTGAGTACCATTTTGAGTTGCTGCAATGAAATTTCAGAAAAATGGACTAGCCTGCTGCATCCTTTTTTCACTTTGATTTTCAGGGTGTCTTTGAATTCCGCCCTCTGTAGGTTGATAAGTTTCATTTCCATCAAACGATGTAGCATCCTTTCGTTCCTAACACATTACCCAGTCCGTATCAGTGTAGATATCCAGCATTCTATTTTTCCCCATTGAGATCTGATGTTTTCAAAGTGTTCCTTTCATTTTTTTGAGCAGTGTATATTAGCATTATTTTAGTAAATATTCACATTGTTATTGGTCCTTCTGGTCATTTAACAAAACTTCACTGTTTTATTTCTTACATTAAACATTTTGAATAATTTTAGCATCAATGGCTATGTTGTGGACTGATATAGTTTAAAGGGGACATATGATGCGATTTCAAGTTTTCCTTTCTCTTTGGAGTGTTACAAGCTGATTGTGCATAGATAAGATCCCTGAAGTTGCAAAGACTAAAGTCTCAAAACCAAAGAGATATTCTTTATCAAAGTTAAGACTCTGCCACGCACCCCTAAAACGGCTCGTTCTAACACGCCCCCACATATCTACCTCACTATGTGGAAATATTTGCATAATGCACCCAAATGTGCACGCAAAGAAAGAAGGTGTGGTTTCAGTAACCGCAGTTAGTGTTGAAGCAGCCATGTCAGGGAGACGCTGTGTGTTAAAAAAGCATCATATGACCCCTTTAATAAAATTTCAAGTTTCAAGCCATTTCTGAGCAAATACAGAAATATCAAGATATATCAAATATCAAAAAATAATTAAAATACGGCGCTATAATTGTTTAGCAATATCACCCAGCCCTAAAACACACCCAAACTCATAAATCTGTTTAAAGGTTCACAGAGTTTTGTTTTTCTGTTAGCAAATATTTTGCATATTTGTTTTCCTCAGCTATATATATCAAGTCAGCAGCTGAAACACACACACATATGGCAGTAATCATGGCTGAGGGAGTGTATGTCTGAATGAATCAGATCAAGCTGTTATTTGGAGACGTGAACAAACCAAAACCAACCGAATCCTTCCAGTCCAACATTACTCATAATAAAACATAATAAAAATGAGCCGCACAGCGACGACGGCGACGAGCGATCACAAAGACAACAGCAAACCTGCCAACAACATCCGGCTTGGACTAGGAATCATGAGTGAACTTTGAAGAACTGTTGACTTTATTTGAGAGATGTGTGTGCATTTTCAAAACTATTTTTAAAACAATTATACTCCTTTTGTTAAATGTTTTTGCATCTCTCTTTTCAATAAAATCGCACTCGTTTTGATATGTTCTAATGCACTGACATTCAGACATTTATAAGTGTGACTGGAGTGTTTTCATGACTGTCACGCTCTGCTTTTAGAGGTTTTAAAGTCTCAGTGACTGAGTTTTACAGCGTAAACAAATATAATTAAGCAACTCTGAACTCCTGAGGAGCTCAACAAACCTGGAAGACGCTCAAGACCTCCCTCAGACCTCCCTCAAGTCAAAACACAGAGATGAAAGCCATCTTTATATCATGTCTTTGGCTTATATAGAGCAGAATGCTGGGATGTTTTATAGCTGCTGCGATGGGCTGATAGGATGTACTGTTTATATACATACATAGGCTGTATTTGAAGCAGTTTCTGAGCTCTGTTGCTGTAGTTGAGGCAGGTGAGAGACATACAGACAGCAGATAATGACGGCTGTGATAATAACCCAACACACATACTTCACTCAGAGACACCAGCTGTTTCTGAGCCTCTGATTTCTGTCAATACTCCATCAACAATCTCGTTCAGACGTGTCTGCTGAAAGACCTAATTTAAGACCACGTTTTGAACAAATGATGGCAGAATTATCCAATAGCAACTGTAGAAATTAAACTTCTGTCATCGTTTATTCATCCTCATGATTTTAAAGCAGTTTTTTTAGTTCTGTAAAATGCAAAAGGAGATGCTTTTTTTTTTTTTTTTTTTTTACAGCAAAAGCAAATGGTGACCATGACTTTTAAGCTTCGAAAAGAAACATAAAAGCATCATAACAGTTGTTCATATGACGTTTGCACTATATTTCCAAATTCCTTAAGTCATATGATGCTTTGTGTGAGGAATAGGCCCAAGTTTAAGATTTTATTCACTGATAAATCCTGTTCAAATCGTAATACAATTAAGCAAGAATAATTTTGTTTGAAAAAACATTTTCAGTAATAATGATTTAAAAGGACAGTTCACCCAAAAATGAAAATTCGCCATTATGTACTCGCCCTCATATCGTTCCAAACCTGTGAAACTTTCTTTCTTCTGTGTAACATGTTTGTAACCAAAACAGTTTCAGTATGCATTGACTTTTTTAATTTTTTTGTCGGATGATGAGAATGTTTGGTTACCAACATTCTTCAAAATATCATTAAAGGATTAAAGACATTTAAAAAAAATAATTTGATTTGTGCACTACATTCCAAATCTTCCAAAGTTGTATTTAAAGGGATAGTCCACTAACCATTATGTTTCGGTTCCCATTGACTTCCATTATATGGACAGAAAATACAATGGAAGTCTATGAGGTTTGGAATGACTGATGATTTTATATACATATTTGTTAACCTGCATGTCACGTGACCGATGAACTGACATGTGAAGGTGTCATTAAATTATTGAAATATTAACTTAAAATTTCAGAGTAAATTTCAAGTAAATATTTTGTGTCAATAAGGTTTGGCTGACAAAAATTAATAATAATAACAACTATAATTACAATAATTACAAATACAGCCAAGGTATACAAAAGAATAAGCAAAAAATACATAATAATAAAATGATAGAAGTTAAATAAAAACATTTAAAACATTCTTATTTTTCAAACATAAAATTAATCTTTAAACTGAACGGAACTCTGAAACAGTTCTAGAAACAAAGGCTTATTTCACCTGTGTTTACATTTATGTGTAATAAACAGAAGTAACAGATTAAGGTTACACTTTAAGATGTCCTTGTTACAGTGTAATTAATATACATTTAAGTTCGGAGTAATATGTGACCCTGGAGCACAAAACCAGTCTAAAATTGACCCTTATGACTGATTTTGTGGTCCAGGGTCACATATTTATTAACTACATGTAGGCATACTTACTATATGGTTAGGGTTAGGATTTGGCTTGGATTTACTTGCATGTAATTAGATGATATTCCTTATGATAAGACATGTCATAGGCGAAAAAAACAAATAAAACATTTTTTCAGAAGTTCTAACTTCTTTTTTTTTAAAGAAAAAAAAAAAAAAAGGAAGAAAATTACATAAAGTTCAATGCTTTATTCGCATTACATGTTTTCAGTGCTTTTTTGTTTTTTGTTTGTTCTAAGAGATTTACATATAATTTAAAGTCATTTATAAAATGTGCAAAATTTGGTTTACATTGAGCCCACTTCTTCTCATGTATCTGGAATTTTCCTAACAAAATAAACAAACGTATAATATGTTGTTCTTTACCATTCAAATTTTTGTTTTCTGTATAAAAAAGTACATCAAATATACACATTTCTATCATACACTCTATTTTTCTGTTAATATAGAATTCCAAATCCTTCCAAAATAATCTCGAGTAAATACAATGAAAAAAAAGATGCAAAATAGTTTCTTTTTCTTGACCACAAAATTCACAGGTATATGAAATATTACGCTTAAATCTTTAAAAAACATGCTTGGCGGGATAAATTCGATGAAGTATTTTGTATGACACTTCCTTCATTTTGTTATTGATACAAAACTTGTTTGCAGAAGTTCTAACTGACGGCCGTTAATCAGAGCGGCGTGACGTCACGCCAGCAGCGGCAGGTTCACGTATTTTCCCGCGGTTTATAACGGACTCACCTGAGATGTGGCACGCGGTCTGATAATCGTCGCAGCAGTCGCCGCTCCTCAGGCAGTACGTGTCGCAGTAACACACGCTTCTCCTCGCGCTCCTCTCCACGCACTCGTTATTCCGTCCCGGACAGCATCTCGGTGCCGGTCTGTCCGCGCATCCCGCCTCGCACGCGCCGCACGCGCACATCACGAGCGCGATCGCCGCACAAACGCGCGTTATCATCATCATCATCATCATCACGACGCCTCACCGAACGTCTCCGGGGTCGCTCTGATACAAAAGATGCCGCTTTAAAGAAGTTTCTCGCACAGCCGAGCACTTTCAGACGCAGCGAAGGAGAGCGGAGCGTCCCGTCTGCAGCATCGCTGAACTTCATCTGAAGCGCGCGGAGTGACGCTCACTGACGCAGCGCCGCCTGCAGGACGCATGCGCAATCACACCGCAGCACAACGACCCCATTAATATACATTTTTAAACGAATAGTGTGTATATAAACATATTTAGATTTCTATTCAACATTGTCATTCACACATACAGACACACACATGCATTTTATATTTATGATGTGATTTTATAAAGTGAATGTGCAGTGTTATCAAATATGATATTATTCGATAAAAATATATGTTAATATAATAAAATATATATATATATATGATGCTATTATACTATTATATATGATACTATTTGTATGAAGTGATATGAAAATAGCATTATTATTATTATTATTGATTATTGCATTATTTAGTCTGTCAGTTGATTTTACATTCAGCATCTCATATATTACTACACCAGTGTTTTAAATTAATTATTATTATTAATGATTTCATTTGGTATTATTAAGAGGAAATATTTGCTCACTAGAATTGATTCTTAGGGATTTTTATTAACTTTATGATGGCATTTTTGAACAAAAACAAAAAATGTGTTGTCTAAAGCCCCGTTCTCACCAAGCACGATAACTATAAAGATAACGATAAAGACATAGTTCTAAAAATCGTTCTCAATATTAAAGAATAGCAGAGTAATTCTAATGTCATGTCAAATACTTAAATAGAATAAAATAACATTGAGATTATCAATATGGGTTTTAAACCCATATTTATAAATATATTTATATTTATAAATAGTTTAAATATAATAACTGTGTGTATATATATATATATATACACACACACATACAAATCTGGTTTCTAAACCCATAAAGAGTTCTAAAATAGATTATCACAAGTATACCAAATGTTGATGCAAAAACATGAATTCACTTCGGCTGTATTTTTTGCACTACATCCTAAATATCTGGATGTGTTTGTTACGTTCTGGTGGCATCTTGCACCAAACCCTGGTTCATTTCTGTCTCTGGTTCTGAAACCCAACAAACTCGAGAACACACTTCATTCCTGCAGTGAAGCGGAGCGCCAGACATCTCAGACGTGCAGCATCTGACCTGAGATCAGAACTCTGAGCTGTTCTTACACAACATCTGCTAGTGGTTCCTCAGCTCGCTTTGGGTGATGGATGTGATCATTATGATTATGGAATCCCCCTCACATCTGACGCTGCACTCTAAAAAATGCTGGGTTAAATATAACCCAGCGCTGGGTTAAAAAGGGACAGACAGCCGCTAATGCATGCCATGGAGTCAGTCTGTCTGATGGATAACACTGTGAAAAAAGGACAAAAATCTGATAGAACACTTAATAGAGAACAGATTCGAACCGTGTATTTGTACTGCCGAAGCATTTGCTGTGAGTCTGCACACAATGAAAACTCTGTAAAAATAAGAGTGCACACACTAAAAAATGCTGGGTTAAATACAACCCAGTGCTGGGTAAAATAGGGACAAACCCAGCAATTGGGCTGTTTTGACCCAGCGGTTGGGTTACTACCCAGAAGGTTGGGTTAAACATTTAACCCAACCGCTGGGTCAAAACAACCTAATAGCTGGGTCAAAACAACCCAACTGCTGGGTCAAAACAACCCAACTGCTGGGTCAAAACAACCCAACTGCTGGGTCAAAACAACCCAACTGCTGGGTCAAAACAACCCAACCGCTGGGTCAAAACAGCCCAATTGCTGGGTTTGTCCCTATTTTACCCAGCATTTTTTAGAGTGCAAATAGAGTTCACAAGTATGAGTAACAATATTACAAAAACAAATAGTAAGATAACCAAAAAAATAATATAATGCACTTTATTCCAACAAGATCTGATCAAAATTAAGCAAAAGTTAATTTCTTACTCAGAACATTTTTTCTTGTTTTGTAGTGTAAATATGTAAATATAAATCAAACTACATTTACTAAGATATTAGGCCCTGTTTTCTTAGAAATTAGAGCAAAAGATGGGGTGTTTATCTGACAATGGGGTCAGGAAAATAAGCTTATTTCAAATTAAATTAAATATTTATAATAACAAATAAATTATTGATCCACTTAACGCCTTTTTTTTCCTTTCTAAGCATAAAGCTCCCGTAATTTTGATTGATTTCTCTGACAAAACAATCATTTTGCTTCTCAAGTAAATGCATCTTGATTCAAGAATCTTTAGATATTTGTAGAAATACTAAAGAACTTTTAGAGAAGTTGCAAACAGAAACTTGAACACAAAACAGCAAAGCAAATGCAGTCCGTGTGTTAATGTGAGCAGCTGGTAACAATATTAAGAAAAAATGCATTTAAAAAAAACTAAAATAAGGGGGGAAAGTAACATTAGAGTGTTATTTTAGTATTTGTGATATATACTATCATACTATCATAATTACAATCACGATTTACTATAATTTACTATTATAGTTTATAACTTACTATTTTTGAATTATATTTTATATTTTCTGTTTAGTATTTTTTTAATCATTTTTGTTGTTTTATTTTATATACTGTATATATATTTTAAATGTGTATATTAATTTCTAATATATTAATAGTTACCTTAGTACTTCAAGTTAAAATAAACAAAAATGATAAATGTCTCCATGACAACTAGCTGAAATAAAAGAAGTTACATTTTTTTTAGATTTTATTTCATTTACTGTTTATTTTATTCCAAGTAACAGAAGTGTGTTTTAGTGGTTTTAGTTTTAGTTTTCGTGGCTGATAATAGAAGCAGAGGTCAGACGGGTCACTCACTGTCCGTCTCTCTCTGCGGATGAATGCGATTCTCTCGTGCATCAGAGCTCATGTATGCACCGCTCGTCCAGCACCGTAAAACATCTGCTGGTGGGAGTTTCTGATGACCGACAGCTGGACGAACAACAAAAGACAGATCCACGTCTGTCCTGTGAAAGAAGAAGAGAATCACTGAATCCTGCTGGAAAATCACAGACCTGTTTCTTCTTATCAGTCGGTCGTATTGAGACTGAACAAGACTAGATTTGATAAAAGAGACCGAAAGCAAGAGAGAAAGAGATTCCTTTCCATGTTTCTAACAAAGAGCTATTGTAGCAGGACATAAAGAGACAAGGAATCTCTCAGCGGAGTGTGTGAGAGACAGACAGACAGACAGACACACTGCCGCATCTTTCATCCCAAAAAAAGAAGAAAGAAGTCAAACAATCCTTCATTCTGACAGACTGATACAGAACTAGTGTTATTCCAGAGGTCACCACCAGGTCACAGACACTCGCCTAGCAACGCCCTAGCAACCTTAGAACACCTTAGAAGCTGCATAGCAACTGTCCATAACATGATGACTTCTGCACAGGCAAACTGTCAATCTATATACACTTGGTAAGACATGTTTTGCTCTCCAAGGCTGCATTTATTTGAGAAAAATACAGTAAAATCAGTAAAATTGTAAAATATTATTACAATTTAAAATAGCTGTTTTCTATGTGAGTATCTGTTAAACTGTAATTTATTTCTGAGATCAAAGCTGAATTTTCAGCATCATTACTGCAGTCTTCAGTGTCACATGATCTTCAGAAATCATAATAATATTTGCAGTTTGTCGGTTTTATTAGTTTTTGTAATGCAACATTTTTTTAAAGTTATAACATTTAACATTTGATATGTTCTCATAATGTTGAGAGAAAATGTTCTTAGAACAACATTCTCACAAAATAAAAATTCATAAAATTAATAAAAATAAAGTTAGTAGAACAATGTCAGAAACGTTTTTGTAACCTTTAAATAAAGTTACAATCACCAAAAAAATATATAAAAATGGACTAGTTAATATTTTAGAAACATTTCAAAACTATGTTCCTAAAGGGTTTTAATAGCTTAAATTTGTTACCTGGGTATATATAAATTTTTATTTCAGCTTTAGCATTTAAAGATTTATTTTTATGTTTTATTTTAAGTAAATTAAGATTTTTTGGCTTTACTTAACTATTAGTTAACTATTTAATAACCCTGATGCTGATTTGCTGCTCAAGAAACATTTCTGATTATTATCAATGTTGAAAACAGTCATGCTGCACAATATTTTTGTGGAAACCGTGATACATTTTATTTTTCAGGACTCACAGATGAACAGAAAGTTCAAAAGAACAGCATTTATTCGAAATAGAAACCTTTTGTAACATTAATGTTTTTATTGTCACTTTTGATCAATTTAATGCATCCTTGCTTAATAAAAGTATTAATTTCTTGAAAAAACTTTGAATGTAAGTGTAGATATATGATTTTATCTTGTACAAAAATCAGACCTTGTTTACACAAACTTTAAAATAAAGGTACCTTGTAGAACTTTAAGAGCCAAAAACACAATAATGTCACAGAGCTGATTTAACTGTGAAAATAAAATAATTTTATTAGCACATTAGCATTTAGTTTAAGAAGCCTTCACTCTAGCTCTACAAAGAAAAGGCCAAGAGCATACACATAACAGTTTACGGCACAAACAATCCTACAGAGTATTTCTAAAGGGCCCAAACACACACACACACACACTCTCTCACACTCTCTCACACACACACAAATACCAGGTACACACGCACGCACGCGCACGCACGCGCACTGAAGCACGAGATCTAAACATCTATGTTGAGTCTGCCCTCTAGCGGCCAGCAGCAGCACTGCACATTCAATTAGGATCAATAAAAGATAGATAGATGACACTATTTCACCTCATACCACACACACACACACACACACACACAGCTGGAGATGCATGCTGCAGAAACACTTTAATAATCCATATCAGGACCGCTCAGAGGCGAAACAGTCACATTTACAGTACATGCATGTATTTGACATTCACTGAATCTGTATTCCAGTTGTATATATAATACAGTTGATATTGCACATAGACAGATACAGCAGGTCACACCCGACAAAAGATGCTTCAAAACTGACAAAAGAATTATTAAAAATGTCTGTTGGTGTTGAAAAATAAATGTCAAGAGTTTGATGTTTA